TTTATTAATACGGAGGAGATGGATTGTTTAAGTTTAGATTTTGGAGTTAGAGATATTAATATTTGTTTACTTGTATTTGAATATTAGCCTAGGTTGGTTTGGGAAGTCCGGGGGGTGGGGGGATGGGATATAACATTGTGTAATATCTGTGATGTATTTCTTTTTTTTTATGATAAAAACAATAAAATTTTATATTGAATGATGATGCAAAACAATCTGGTCCTTTTGGTTTTCTAAAAACTTTGCATTTGGTGCACTGGCAGTTTTGGTAGCCAGGCATGAAGAAAGACATTGAAAGTTATGTACAAAGCTGTGCTACCTGCACAGCTATGAAAAAGCACCCTGGAAAACCTCCTGGTCTATTGCAACAAATGGTTGATCCTTCCCAGCCCTGGGAGGAGATAGCCATGGACTTTATTGTGGAATTACCTGAGAGTAAGGGAGCACAGTGATCTGGACTGTCATTGATCTTTTTTCGAAGCAGGCTCATTTCAACGCTTGTTCGGGACTCCCATCTGCCCAAAAGCTAGCCAGGTTATTTTTAAAGCACATCTATCGACTCCATGGGGCACCGAAACGGATTATATCAGGGGGGGGTCAATTTACTGCAAAATTCTGGAGGGAGTTTGTGAAACTAATTGGGTCTACCCAGGGGCTTTCATCTGCTTTTCATCCGAGTACAAATGGATTGGCTGAACGTTCAAACACAATGGTGGAACAATACCTCAGATGCTATGTTAATTACCAACAGACTAATTGGGCAGACCTCCTGCCTTTCGCCGAAGTTGCATACAACAACACTGTACACAGCAGCACTGGACTTACTCTGATCAAAATAGCTACTGGTCAGGAGTTTGTCCCTATGCCCGAATACCCGCAGGAGCCTCCTGCTTCGCAAACCCTAGATCAGTGGGTGACCTCTTTGCAAACTGGGCAAACGTAAAAAAAGCTTTAGCCCAAGCTGCTAAAACATATAAAGAACAGGGTGATAAGAAGTGATCTCCCCAGAAGCCATTTCATGTGGGGGAGAAGATTTATCTCTCCACTAAATATCTAAGACTAAAACTACCAAGCAGGAAATTGGGACCTAAGTTTCTCGGTCCATTCCCTATAGTCAAAATTATAAATCCTGTCACAGTTCAGTTAAAACTCCCATGGCTATTAGGAAAGGTTCACCCCGTTTTCCATTGCAGTTTGTTAAAACCAGTCAGAGTCATCCTTGAGGCCAATCCCCAAGAAACTGCCTGGTCCGGTTTTGGTGGAGGGAGAAACTCACTATGAGATAAAACGCATCCTTGACTCTAGATTACATAAGTGACAATTACAATATTTGGTGCAGTGGAAAGGTACCCCTTGTCAGAAGCTACCTGGGTGAAACATACCGATGTGAAAGCAGACAGACTGATAAAAAAATTCTATGACAAGCATCCCCAGAAGCCCGGGGGGAATTCCTAACCTGTACTTTTGTTTCCTTTACAGGACTTGCTTTCCTCTTAGGGGCGTCCGACTCTACAACGAACCTGGCTGCAGCCATCTTGCTCATTCTAGGTTGCCACAAGGGGGTGCGGAAGATTTCTGCTAGTCTAAACATTTTACTGTCCCGTGGGAACGAAGGTCATT